TCTGTCAGTGAACATCCAGGGTGCTTCCATGTCCTGGCTATTGTAAATACTGCTGTGATGAACACTGGGGTATGTGTGTCTGTTTCAATTATGGTTTCCTCAGGGTATATGCTGGAGAAGGGAATGGCAACCCGCTCCAGTACTCTTGCCTGGAAAATCCCATGGACGGAGGAGCCTGGTAGGCTAAAGTCCATGGGGTCTCGAAGAGTCGGACATGACTGAGCGACTTCACTTTCATGTTTCACTTTCATGCACTGGAGAAGGAAATGGCCACCCCCTCCAGTGTTCTTGCCTGGAGAATGCCAAGGATGGGGGAGCCTGGTGGGCTGCTGTCTATGGGGTCTCACAGAGAGTCGGACACAACTGAAGTGACTTAGCAGCAGCAGCAGCAGCAGGGTATATACCCAGTAGTGGGGTTGTTGGGTCATATGATTTTCTTCCTAGATTTTAAGAGATCTCCATACAGTTCTCCATAGTGGGTATATCAACTTGCATTTCCACCAACAGTGTAAAAGTTTTCAAAAAACATTTAGTATCCCCTTTTGACCATCAAAACAATCCTGTTGGAATATTATACATTTTTTAGGGGGAGTAAAGATGCTTATTCCTGGGAAGGAAAGTTATGACCAGCCTAGACAGCATATTAAAAAGCAGAGACATTACTTTGCCAACAAAGGTCTCTGTCTAGTCAAGGCTATTGTTTTTCCAGTGGTCATGTATGGATGTGAGAATTGGACTATAAAGAAAGCTGAGCACCAAAGAATTGATGCTTTTGTATTGTGGTGTTGGAGAAGACTCTTGTGAGCCCCTTGGACTTCAAGGAGATCCAACCAGTCCATCCTAAAGGAGATCAGTCCTGGGTTTTCATTGGAAGGACTGATGTTGAAGCTGAAACTCCAATACTTTGGCCACCTGATGCGAAGAACTGAATCATTTGAAAAGACCCGGATGTTGGGAAAGATTGAAGGCAGGAGGAGAAGGGGATGACAGAGGATGAGATGGTTGGATGGCATCACCGACACAATGGACATGGGTTTGGGTAGACTCCTGGAGTTGGTGATGGACAGGGAGGCATGGCATGCTGCAGTTCATGGGGTGGCAAAGAGTCAGACATGACTGAGTGACTGAACTGAACTGAATGTTAAATCTGAGTCTCGTATTTTTGCCCCACATCAATCATGTCACTAGAAGTGGCTGAAATAAATGCCAAGGGATCCAAGTTCAGTTCCAGTATTCCTGCGTGAGATTGCCTCCTTTCAGCCACAACTTTTTCTGATAAATCTCTCCAGAGCCGAATCCAGACCTTGCAAAGTGGGATTCTGCTACAGACCAGTCCTGCTACAAACATCTGGAGCAGAGAACTCTTTGCTGCCGACATCGAGGTTTCCTGTTGATCATCTGTGTCTGATGGCACCTCTGTATGGCTCCTTGGTGCCTTACACATGTATCTCCTGCCAGTCCCACTAGACCTTGTGTCTAGAACACACATCCCTGTGTCCTACATACCCACTACCGTGCCTAGAACATAGTAGATTCTCAACTGACGCATGTTAGGGACTGAAATCAGTGCATTTTTGGAAAATACATTCTCATACCTAAAGTTAAGTGAATTTCCACAATATTATGATGCTAATACATTGTCCTATGACCCCCCACCCCGCATCAAACGTCATAAATCTTAAGTCCTTATGAACAAAATGCAGAAGGAAAGCGGTAAGGAGACTAATGACTATTAAACTGTAACCAGCACGCGCAGGTGCTTGCCAGGAACTCAGCACATGTCGCCACCAGGGAGCCTCACCCTGACTCTGTTCTTGTTTTTGCCTGACTGCGTGGATGAGAACATAAGTCTAGAGAAATTATGTTCGCAGGCTCCTACATGTTCTAGTGAGAAGAGTAAACATTGTCTCAGCATTTACTCTGCAAGAAGCACTGTTCTGAATCTTAGAATATGGATTCCCTTGTTTAATTCTCTCATTAAACTTTAGGACAGGTAGTGTCATTATATCCATTCTACAAATAAGAATAATTAGGCACAGAGAATGTCAGTAAATAGGCAGATTAGATGGGAATAAATGGTAGGCCAGGATTAAAACCCAATGACTTGATAAGCCTTAATAGGGCTTCCCAGGTGTTTCAGTGGTAAGGGACCCACCTGCCAATTCAAGAGATGCAGGAGACATGGGTTTGATCCTTGGATTGGAAAGATCCCCCGGGGAAGGAAATGACAACCCACTCATATTCATGGGCTTCCCTGGTGGCTCAGTAGTCAAGAATTCACAAGCCAATGCAGGAGACTCAGGTTCTATCTCTGGGCCAGAAAGATTCCCTGGAGGAGGAAATGGCAACCACTCCAGTATTCTTGACTTAAAAATTCCATGCATAGAAGAACCTGGTGGGCTATAGTCCATGGGGTCACAAAGATTAGGACACAACCAAGCAACTGATCATGCACAATTTTGTATCAAACGTTATACTTTTAATGCTGACCCCGGACTTGGGAAGCTGGGCCAAACCCTGGTATATCAAACACAAAAGTCCATCCTCTTCCTCCAAAGTAGAGCTCCCTTTTTCTTATCCTCTATAGATGACCCCACGTAAGTTCAAAGACTCAGTTAAAATGCTGTGATGGCTCCAAAGGTAACTCTGGGAGAGCATTACATCCATATGTTATGTAATAATGTGCTGGATGTTATTTCCAAATCAAAGGGTGACAAATGATAAGTAAAATTAAAATAACACAGAAAATAATATGGGCCAATTACCTTGTACAGAAATATTGAGTAACATGATGAATAAGTTAAAAATGCAAATCACATCTAAATAATTGTCCTGGATAATAAACAAGAGTAATGCTCTTAAAATGCAAAGAGCATTGGTCAAGGCCGTAACTCATGAAAAATGTTCATAAAAATGAATACCTGATGATACATGGCATCATGCTGTGAAGGAAATGAGAAGGCTGGGGACATGTCTGCAGGAGTTCAGGTTACCTGTGCATTTGATCACCTTGAATATTCTCATGATGCTGGAGGCCCCTTCAGCTATATTTGAGATGCATGCCTTTTCTAATTGATCTTCCTGTTTTTTCCTTTTTCTTATAAACTAGGGAAGGTAAAACCTTGACTTTTTTCTGAACTGTCACAAATGACATTTACTTTTTTCCCTGTGGAAACTACTCAAAATAATTAATATCCAAGAATATAATCTTTATACAACTACTTTGCTCCTAGAGAAATTCGAAGGTTAGAAAATGTCAAAAGGAATCTGAATTGATTTTGCCACCTGGGGTCAAATTTTCTATTCTCGTTATAAAAGTCAATTTTCATAAAAAATTCACCTACCATAACTTGGGAATATCCTAATTTCAATGGATAAAAAAAGCATATGGTTGTCTGTTTAAATTTTTATTTTAATATGGAGGGTCGCATTAAAAATTTATCCACTATTTTTATAAACTTCTGATCTTTCATAGGAATAAGGTAAAAGCGAAGTCACTCAAGTGAATTTTAAAATACTGAGCCACTTTAAATTCGAGTCATACCTAAAATGCACCAGGTATGGTAACAGAAAACTTATCAGAAACAATCAGGACTCTTTTTAGGGAACATGTTTCAAGAAGTTAACTTCTATGCAGTCAGAGCATTGTGAGTGATGATATCCTGTAATCACCTAAAAATAGATATTTAGGGGCTATTTTCAAACTGTGGTGGAGGAAGGGAGAGATAGATAGTTAGATGGATGAATGGGTGAGAGGGTGGGTAGATGCATAAATGGGTAGGTGGGTGGATGGATGGGGAGGTGGGTGGGGAAGTGGTTAGGGGGATAAATGGATGAATGGATGGATAAGAAAATGAGGATAGGTAGATTCATTTCTTTGTGCAATACTTGTATTAATACATTGGTTAATTTTCATACTTCAGATCTTTAATTAGGAAAATGGAGAAAGAACCAATTTTTAAATAGAAGTAGAATATGTAAAGTATTATACATCTGTATGTTTATAGGACAACTCAACAAAAGTGATTTTTCCATGCATTCACACATGTGTGGATCTAATCACACACCCAGGCAAGAGATGAGGGTAGTTTTGATCATTATAAAGGGAAGATAATGAGGTACCGTTGTGTTTACCACATCTTGAAACAATCTTAACATCCTCAACGTTCCTGCTTAATTATCAGAAACAATCAGGACTCTTTTTAGGGAACATGTTTCAAGAAGTTAACTTCTATGCAGTCAGAGCATTGTGAGTGATGATATCCTGTAATCACCTAAAAATAGATATTTAGGGGCTATTTTCAAACTGTGGTGGAGGAAGGGAGAGATAGATAGTTAGATGGGTGAATGGGTGAGAGGGTGGGTAGATGCATAAATGGGTAGGTGGGTGGATGGATGGGGAGGTGGGTGGGGAAGTGGTTAGGGGGATAAATGGATGAATGGATGGATAAGAAAATGAGGATAGGTAGATTCATTTCTTTGTGCAATACTTGTATTAATACATTGGTTAATTTTCATACTTCAGATCTTTAATTAGGAAAATGGAGAAAGAACCAATTTTTAAATAGAAGTAGAATATGTAAAGTATTATACATCTGTATGTTTATAGGACAACTCAACAAAAGTGATTTTTCCATGCATTCACACATGTGTGGATCTAATCACACACCCAGGCAAGAGATGAGGGTAGTTTTGATCATTATAAAGGGAAGATAATGAGGTACCGTTGTGTTTACCACATCTTGAAACAATCTTAACATCCTCAACGTTCCTGCTTATTCAGCTTCCCCGCCCTTGCCATCCAGCTACAAGTGAGCTCTTTTCCTGTCCTCCTAATAAAGTCAATCAAATCAAACGGCATCTTTGTGTTAATATATGAGCACACCCAGGCTTAGATCTGACACCATCATTGACTGAAGCTTTCATGATGGTCCCTGGGGCGCTGTGAGATATCCCCCTGCCCTTGGACCTTGCCTCAGGTCACTCTCTCCTTGGCTTACCACGCAGTTCCAGTTGCAGGTGTCTCAAAAGGTGTTACCTTGGTGGCTCACATGTTAAAGAATCCACCTGCCGATGTAGGAGACCCGGGTTTGATTCCTGGGTTGGGAAGATCCCCTGGAGAAGGGCATGATTCAAGTTTAGACAACTTATGAATTTTTGCCTACTAAAACATTTATGACATTTTGATTTCACTTGTTTGACTTAGTCTGAATAGAATGCTAGATCTCTAATTAAAAAATAGAAATGCAGCAATTAGCAAAGGTTTACTGTATAGCACAGGGAACTGTCGTCAATATCTTATAATAACCTATAATGGAAAACAATTTCAAAAAGTATATATGTATATAAGTACAACTGAATCACTTTTCTGTGCACCTAAAATATTGTGTCAAACATAGTTCAATAAAATGTATATATTAAGAAAAATTTTTTAAAGAAATTATTTTAGGTTATTTGCTGATTTATTGATAGGAACTTTTAAAGGAAGGATGTGGGATAATTCAGAATTTTCTTACCATGACATGCAAAGGGGAAGAGGGCTTACATTCAATGTAAAAGCAATCAGAGGAACCACCTAAAATCAGAGCTCCCAATAGATAAATTGCAGACAACTGGCCAACTCCAGCAGTAAGGATTCTTGACAACAGAAAGCATTTCTTGCTTACAAACAGAGGTCAGATGAAGAACAGAGAGCTTAAATATGTACATGACTCAAGAAGAAGAACAGGAGGGCCAATTCCAGAAAAAGAATAGCTATTTCGTAAAGATCCATGTGTCAGGAAGAATCAGTGACTGTGTCTGGTCAAGCCTCTCTGGGGAGCAGTGTGGAGCTGGACCAGAGGGTGGCTGAGAAGTGGCCTGAGGCCTTTGGAAGGAAGGTTTGTCTTATTTCATCCTCGTTGTGAGGCATCTTTTGAAAGTAAACAGCACCCTCAGACTTAAAACAATATACCTGTAATATAGAAAGTGTTTCTTCAAAGAATTACTGGGGCCACTGGGGAATAAGAAATGGCAAGTCTGTTTCCATAATCTTTATTGCCTCTTGGAACTCTGTTTCTAGGTGCATGAAGGTTCTTAGCTTTGTTCTCCCATCATAAAGGGAAGAATGAGGGGTACCAGAGGGATAGATGGCCAAGGGCCACCCTAATACTCTGATGTTTTATAGTGAAAGAAAGATTTTCTGGAAGAAGAAAGAGGAGTTCTGAAGGTTGCTGTGAACAATCTTTCCACACTTAAAAAAAAACATGCATACAACACTCTTAAAGCTCTTTTGTGTCTAAAGGGCTAAAAAGCTTAGAAATTTACCTTGAACGTTTCTTGTCCAATCAGATTATGGTTTAAGTAGGAGCCGGTGTGAAATATCCTTTGACAGAAATGGCCACTAGTCTCTGAGGATCAAGATGGAGACTTTGATGAACTCAGTAACCGAGTAGTAAGAAGATCCTTGTTCCTTCAGAATGCTTTGAAAGGGTTCAAAACTTCTGACTCAGTGTTCTTCATGATGCACACAAGCAAATATTGGAACTTGGAGTGAAATTCTTCCAAGCATAATTCATTTTCCACAGTAAAAGCTATTCACAGCCACCAGGAACCCCCACTGTGTTCTGTAATCCATACAGCAATCCATTGATTTATGACAAACTCCAGCATGCAGTCCCTTGGGGGCTTTCCTGGTGGTCTAGTGGTTCAGAATCTGCCTGCCAGTGCAGGGACATGGGTGTGATCCTGATCTGGGAAGATCCCACATGCTTGGGGGCAACTAAGCCTGTGCGCCACAACTACTGAAGCCCACGAGACCTAGAGCCCATGCTCAGCAATAAGAGAAGCCCTTGGCCCTGAGTGCATTGCAAACCCTCCTCACCACAACTAGAGAAAGCCCGCACAGCAATGAAGACCCAGCACGGCAAAAAAGAAATACCTAAATAAAATAAAATACAATAAAAAATTCAGTGCCTTAAAACAATTGCTATTGATTTGGCTTGTGCGCCTCCTGTGGGCTGGCAGTTTAGTTGGGCTCAGCTGGGCTCAGTGATGAGTCTGGGATCAGTGCTGGTCAGGAAGGTGGGTCTGCTTTTGAGGTTGGCCAGCTGTATGTCGGGGCGACAGAGGGACCTGGGCCCACTGTCTGGTCACCCGGGCAGCCATCCTGGGTTGTGCACTGGCCTCTCGGCCGAGCTCAGCCATGTGCTCAGGACCTGGCTCCCTGCTGTCGCATGGTGACCCCTCCCAAGTTCCACAGGTCAATGTAGGTGCCCGGTCACCTCTGTGTTTCTCTCCAAACTGCCCCCAAGTCAGGTCAGCTGGGTTCCTGCCACTGCTCGACTTGTCCTAATGTCTCCGATGCTCTAGATCCCACTTGCCTGCCATACTGACTCTTAACCTGAGCCTCTCCTGGAAGATGTCTCATCTCCTCCTTGGCTGGCAAAAGGAGGGCAATGGAAGGATCCTGTTTATTGTTGTCATCAAGTCATCACAAGAACCGAGTTCCTAGTGCTGGGATTCCCATCATCTGAACTAGCCAAGCAGGAGTGGGTGTGATTGTTGCGGGGCAGCCATGCTTCCCTGGAAGGTGTATCATTTGCTGAGTCACACACCTCCCCTCTGCACTCAAGTCTCTCCTGAGAAAGCCTGGCCCCTGCCAACTGCCCAGAGGGCTGTGGGTGAGCTGCACCTGACCCTCAGGGAATGACAGCTCTGCATCGGGGGATCCTTTTCCAGCTTAGGTGTTGATGGAGTCCCTTTAAGGCCGGGGTCTCCCCAGAAACAGACCCCATGACAAGGAATTGTGGACAAACAGTTGATTTCAGAGGCAGTGCCAGAAAATATCCTATAGAATTGGGGAAGGGAGACAGGCAATGGGAGCAGTCAATAAATCGGTGCTGTCCAACAGGACTGCCCTTGTAGAAGGGCTCAGACCCCCTGGAACCCTGGAACCCTGGAACCGGCTGAGCATGCTTCCAAGCGATCGGACCTGAGGCACAAGGAGCCTGGTGTCTAGACTGACTGCTCTTGGGGACTCTGAGCCCCAGTGCTCCCTGTCCTGTTTGCTGGCTGGAGAAGGCTGCAGGTGAGGCAGCAGGTGAGGGCGCAGGTGTTTCTAGCAGATGCACTCTTGGGTGGAATTAGAAAAGGGGGCTCTCAAGGCATCAGGTGAATTTTGTGAGGCCACACACCCAGAAACAGAATCTGTCTGACTTTAGAGTCCTTGTGCATTTTCATTGGATGAGTCACTATTCAATCCAGAGAATTCTCAGAAAGGAAAAGAGGACCAGAGTAGCAGAGAGTGTTGGGGAAGGGTAGTGAGCATGAAGGGCTGAGGGCTGGGAAGTGGACTAGCTGGACATCGCAGAAATGGAGAGCAAGGTGGCAACAGGAAAGAAGAAGAAATGGTGATCAATGAGTAGTTGGAATGTTGAAGCCAAGACACTGGTATTTCCTCTGTGCACAGAAGGCCTGGTGATGAAAGCCAAACTCACTCTGAAAAGTTATTGTTTTAATATCATACAAAGCACCAATAACATCCAGAGAGGACTTATCAGCAAAGGATAATTGTGCTTCTTACCCAGATAATATGTGTTTCATGTTGGTCTGGGGCCTGTAACCCAAAGCTGCACATTCTGTGATGCATGGTGATGGTGGTATGTGCATTGCCCCCCACCCCCCACACTACTGGTCTCCGTCGGCATCTGTTTTCATCTGCTCCTAATTGCACCCCTGCCCACTGCTGGACAGAAAAGAGGGAGCTGTGCTCTATGCCCCGAACCCTGGAGACACGGCATCCCTCTTCATTCAGTTTCTTGTTCCCAGGTTTGTTTATTTGATACTCTGTTTTGTTTTATGGATGCTAAGTTGTGTCCAACTCTATTGCAACCCCATGGACTGTACTGTGTGAAATAAATAAATCACAAATAAATATCTGCTTTAAAAACAGTATTTAAAAATACAAGTGTGTGTGTGTTTGTGTGTGTGTATGCACTCAGTTGCTCAGTCACGTCCAAATCTTTGTGACCCTCTGGACCGTAGCCATTAGTCTCCTCTGTCCATGGGATTTTTCAGGCAAGAATACTGGAACAGGTTGCTATTTCCTCCTCCAGAGGATCTTCCCAACCCAGGGATCAAACCCACATCTCCTGCGCCTCCTGCACTGTCAGATCGATTCTTTACCACTTGAAAATAGCAGGAANGGTAAAATGCTTATTTATGTGTAGAAACACTTAAAGTTATATGTAATATTACTTTTTTTATTATGCAAACTTCAAAAAATATCTTATATTTTGAGTTCTTTAATGAATCAAACCAGAAAAAGGATTGCTCTGTGCAATCTAAACATAAACTGACTTGCCCTTCAGTGTTCCTTGTTCATTGAGGGTGTCATCTTTTTGTTGATTTACTGACTTCATGCTCATGTGTCAATTACACCTGGATTCTTCCCTCCCAACCCTGATTACCAAGCTGTCCCCAGCTTGGGGGGCTGAGTGGCAATATGTATGGAGAACAGATGAAGGAAAACAAGGACATTTCTCCCCTGCCAGCTTCTGGCATCTGAGTCCTAGGAGCTCTTGCCCAAACACACTCTTTAGATACAAATTTTAATGCCTTCCTAAAGCAAAATGTGTTTACTCATGACCAATGCTAGAAGTCAGCTCTTTCCGTTTTAAGGGAAAGTGACTGTCATGCATGCACCAGCAAGGGTTCCTGAACCCCAGTTTAAAGAGACTTACCAAGACTCTCTGCTTTCTAAACAGAGGCACTGGAACCCAAAGTGATAACATGACTTAGATTTAGTTATTGATATTTATTGTTTTCAAAGGGGAAAATCAAATTAATGAAAGCATTGAAAATGACATCGCATTCTTATGAAATACATTTTGTAGGATTGGTGCTTGATGATAGCGAACATCAAATCTGACTTCCCTGTCCAGCAAAATGAATTGTAATCAAGTGGAACAAATTGCATCACTCTCCTCTCTTCTCACTGATTTAGGTTAGCATGTGGTCACGGGGCTGTGATAGGCTTTGTTCGCCCAGCTCTGCTCTGCACTCCCCCTACCAGCTTTCTCTCTGCTGACTGATGAGCAGTGTGTGTGCGCGTGCTAAGTCACTTTAGCCGTGTCTGACTCTTTGTGACCCCATGGACTGTAGTCCACCAGGCTCCTCTGTCCATGGGATTCTCCAGGCAAGAATACCAGAGTGGGTTCCCATTTCCTCCTCCAGGGGACCTTCCTGACCAAGAGATCAAACCTGCATCTCCCGCGGCTGCTGCATTGCAGGCGAGTTCATTACCACTGAACCACCAGGTTTAATCCAGAGTTGCCCTTGGATTGCCCTTGCCTTAATCCAGAGTTCCAGCTCCCTCTTCACTTCAGTAAACACATCCCCATGGAGAGGACACACTTTATGCCTAGTTTTGTTCTAGAAGAGGGAAGGGTTTCCCAGCCTCAACACTGTAGAGGTTTTGGGCTGGATGATCATTTGTTCTGGGGGGAGAGGAGGGCTGTCCTGTGATTTTAGGACACCATGCAGCACCCCGGCCTCTACCCACTAGATGTCAGTATCATCCACCCTCCCACTTCCAGTCATGACCAAAAGTAGCCTCAAAATATTTACCAAATATGCTCTGAAGGGCAAAATCCCCCCCAGTCGAAAACCACTGTTCTAGATGCAGTCAGGATTGTGGGGTCTACACAGAGAGAAGCTGATTCTGGAGTCTCTTGCAATCTGATTTTATTACAGTCTGTTAGAAGCTAACAAACAGAGCCCATTTCAGCTCGGTTATCACGTGCTAACTCAAATGTCATTATGCACCATGCCTTATATACACACGATATACTCTTTCATCTATTTTCAGTTCAGTGTTGGTGTCCCCCACCTCCTCAGAAGCCTATAAAGGTACAAATATGCATAAGGCTTTGAAATTTTTGTCAGCAGTGTTTGATTTTGAAACACTTTCACAGAAAATGTATTTGCTGGAACCTAGTGACATCCATTTAGCTTTACTCCTCCTGTCTGACTTGCTGTGATGATGAGAATCACTT